TGTAATGCCTTCATATGTATTTGCTGGATAAAGAAACAAGCTTGTATTGTGTGTTATTGTTTATTATTTTGTAAAAGATTTAATTAAAGTCTTCATTGTTAATCTTACGTGCAGGGCTGAGTTCTTTGACAAAGATGGTGTGATGAAGGATATCCGAACAATATTCCAAGTCTACAGCGCGCTACAAGATAAAGTACAGGTAAGTAGGACAGTGGATAGCTGGTGGATTTTTGCCTTAAACATGGAGTGAAATTGTTTGCGTAGTAGATTCTTTTTTTCCCATTTTGTGAAAGCTTTTTATCTGTTTGTCTTATTTTTAGGCCGTGTGTGGGGAGGTAGAACAAAGTGAACGTGTTAAAGAGAAAATTCAAGAGGACGTGAACAAACTCAAACAACAAATTGCTCTCAGGAAACGCAAGACAGCAGAAGAGGAGAGAAGTACGTACCTGTTTTGGATTCTATAAACTGGAATGCTGTTGACTTTAAGCGTGTGCAGGTTTAACTTTGTGAAGCATAAAACGGGCTTAAGACCTCAAGCAAAAATAAAGCAAAACCAGAAATGCTGAGCTATGCATACACAGCAGTTCAGTTGTTCTTGGGTGCTCCCTCTCCCTCCGGCCTAATTCAAATATCTGATCAGTTAACTGGTCAAACTTGATTTTTTACTGATTGCCATGCGCAGTGATCTTTTTACGAGTTCCATCTTTGTCTTGTTTTTGACAGAGCTCCGTGAAGCCCAAAATGCAGACTCCCATTCCACTCCAGAGGAGAACACAGAACCTTCTGAGGCCTCCCTTCTGTCCAGGATAACTTTCCACACTCCCTCTGCCCCGGAGCGGCCCAGTACCTCACCCAACCCACCATCTTACACTGACCTCTTGTCCCAAGATGACTCTCTGCTCTCCTCTTCCTCCCCGCCGACCAGTGCTGCTCTATTGCCTCGGCCCCAAGCTGTGGGCTCTCCAGGACACCCCACCCCTGGCCCTCTGGGGATGGGCCTGGGGATGGGCCTCGGTCTGGGCCTGGGCCTCGGCACCAGTTCAAATCCTGTTACCACTCCCAGCACCCCATATCTCGGCAATGGCGATGGATCGAGCTCTGACTCGTTAGACAGACAAGCTGCGGGGCAGGAAGATGATGAAGATGACGAGGATGATGACGATGACGAAGATGAGGACAGTAGCGAATATGAGAACTTAGTCAGCGAAGGCGCTCATCTGCCAATGGTCTCTGCCAGCGTTTTAGCTCAAGGCCGACCAGCTGCCCTCAGTCCTGATGGGGACGCTCGTGGCTCACAGACCACATAGAAACATGCCACAGGATGTGTAAGGGACACAAATATGTGACACACCGTGACAGGTGGGCATCTGAAGCAATCAAAGATAGGCAAATATAGACAAAAGAAGTGCCAGTCCTGAAAGTGAAAGGCATGCGCAAGTGGTGTCCCACTGTGTGTATTTCTTCTTGTCTTAGTCTGATCTCCATTTTAAGGGGAAACCTTGCTAGGCTTTGCAGGCTTAACAGGTGCATCTCACTGGGGGAAGTCGTCTGTTTTCATGTTCTCTTTGGAATAGGGCCGGTCAAGTTATTTAAGTGTGGATCTGTCTGGTTTCAGGATCAGATATTACAATGTAATTTCTGCCAACTGGTTGGCAGACTGGCTCTTTAACAGACAGGGCCACACTTTCTGTATGTTCTGTGTCTGTATTTCTTTTTTGTTTCACATTTGCATCACCAACTTTGAGCACCCACTCTTGCATTACCTCTTGCACTATTTTTGTTTTGCTTTCTTTTCAACAAACCATTAAAGAGAGAGCAAAAGGGAAAAAAAATATTCCGCGGCCTTCAAACAAATTTAATGACGTAGGCAAATGGTTGTTAACTTTTTATTTGTTAATTTGAAGAAAGAGATTTATATGTAATTAGAATTTCGTTAACATGCACATTTCTCTCATTCGATTGTGGAGTTATTACATTTTCTTTTCCATGTTTCACGGTCTTGAATTAATCATACAGTTGCCTATTTAAATGATGAAGAATAGATTGAAAAACAAAATTTACTCTGCCACTTATATAATGGGTGCTTTATATATACATATATATATTTTTTGTCAGATTAACAGTTAATCTAATTTGATTGACAATATTGTCAATGTCTTGTTCTTCTTGGATAACACTGAAATTGTATGCGCTTTGCTGCACCTAACAAAATTTAAGATTTCTTTATTATTGTGCTATACCAATGCTGACATGTTGTGCCACTTGAGTAGTCCTCTTCGACCACCCTGAGCCAAACTCAGCTCAGCTTTTGTGCATTGTACGGGGTTCACAGGGCAAACACAGTGTACTGTAGCTTTACTAACCAGATGCTTAAGGTTCCCTTCTGCTGCTGCAACACAGAGAGCTACCACTAAAAAAAAAAAAATTGCATCTGTCTGTTCTTCTTCATATAAAAACCTGGCTGCTACTTCCACTTTACAGTGCTGGTTGTCTCAATACTACTGACCATGTTCATATAACCACTTCGAGCTCACTTCTCACTGACTTGTTCTCTATTAAAGTCATAATGGAAGGCTGATATCCCCTGTAGTGTGTGAATTGTAACCTTGGGAACAGAGACCGAGCCATCACCTTCCTATCTTTGCATAGTTGACCGCAGACCTCATGTATTCTGACCTGCTTGGGTCAATGTTACGTGTATGGACCTGGATAATGTGATGAAAACATCATGACCTTGCTTCAGTATACAGTGCCTTCCACTCAGGGCAGTTTCTATCTGCACACAGAACACATTAACAAATCTCTGCTAAGAGGTCACATTATAACAGACTGTGTTGTGTTTGCAATAATCAACTTCCAGCTTTCTTTTTTCTCTCCTCTCCTTGTTCAGTCTTGCAATTACAATGCTACCTTTCCATAATGTTATGTTTTGTCTACTTGAAACAATCTTTACTGCTTCCGAAAGCTGTTTTTTCCCTTTTTACTTTCACCGACGGCTTCTAAGTGGACCTGTATCTCATGGTTATAACTATGACTTTGCTGTGTTCTTTGAAACTGGAATTATAAGTCTGAGGGAGTCTGTGTAGTGACCGAACAGCCTGCAGGGCAAAGTTGGTGATGTGACATACAGATGACTGCTTTTAAACATCTGGCCCATTTGAAGACAACACAAGTGAGGTGTGGATTGATTGGGTGCTGGATGTAGGACGCCCTCCTTGCATGAACCGGTTAATTCTAGACACTGTTATATTCAGCATGGACAGATGTTTGCACTGCACACGGAGGGTGTCTGACACAGTCAGGAGGTTGCACTCAGTTTGGAAATTAAGACATTTTTGTGGTGGGCGACGCTTTGCCTTGTGAACAAGCTCTGCTTTATTTACACAGCCTGTTTGTATGTCATGTTTTTTGCCTTAGGGTCATTTCATTTGCCCTGATGTGTAATGCCAATGCATCACTGATCGGGAACTGGCACTCAGTATGTTGTTTAATAATCACCTGGAGTCACACAATCACACAATGTTAAGAAATGACAAAATCAGTTCGTTAGGAGTGTGGTTTCCTTTGAGTACTGGAATATTATAAGGAAATAAATAATGAATGTATAGTAGACATGGGGGGGTGGGGGTAGCATTTAAACAGCACTTACTGTATAAGCTTGTCTCAGTTGAGTGTTGTGGTGGTATAGAGCAGCAGTTCTCAGTGTTGGTCCTCACTCTTAATCCTGGTCTACAAGCCCATAGATGATTGCTCTGTAAGTCTTTCTTTCTGGCATCCCAGGACGTAACCTCGATTTGATGGCCAGAATGAAAACCAGCAGGTCTTTGGTGCAAAAGACCACCGGTATAAAGCGTGAGATGACTAACATTGTTAGGATCCTATACCTATCAAGTTCCAAATTAATACAAATATACACTCATGTACTCTTACTGTATGGGGTGATCCTTCGCTTCCTCCCCCAAGTGGGCCATTGCAACATCAACACCTCCCTGAAGCACAAAGTCCAGAGCACAGCTTAGCTCTTCTTGGCTTTTGTCTGGATTTGTGTACTTGACGAAAGTTGACCAAGGACTTGCTTGGATGAGCACAGAGAATATGATTCTTAAACTGGGGGATAATAAATGAGACATGCATATGTGATATGATGTGCCTTTGTTTTCTTATTGTGGTAAAAGGAATATCAATTTTAATGTGAAAGTCATTTTTGGCATGCTTTAGATATGCATAAATCACATTTTGTATTTTTATCGTGTATTTTGCATGTTAAATAGAGCGTGCAAAATTGTGAAATGACTGCAGTTTTTAAGCTTCTGCCAAAGACTTGAGCAAATCTCAAACATTTATGTTGGATGGCGTATTATATTATTGTATGTATTATGTGTATGTGAAACCTACTGGTACTCCTTGCAATGACATCACTTAGGGGTTGGACGGGCTTTCCTGTAAACACGAGTTGCATCCATGCGTATTTCGCTGGTTACCAACTGACATGGTTGAGAATTAATTATGATGCTAATTAAATTTCGGGTTTGGGGAGTGTAGGTTCCCATCAGTGATAATAATTCAGCGCTGGGAACTGTTGCTCAAGCTGTCATGCATTACTGCAGACTGCTTGCTGCAGTATTTTTACGATGACATCATCCCCTCATCCCCTTTGAGGGGATACCACGTGGTCGCTTGCCAGAGATGCAACAAATTGCGATGCACAAATTAAAAACAAACATTATTTTTTTTTTACTGTAATTACCTGAGCCTCTCGACTAAAATAATTTAATGTCTAAACGCTCTCGCCGTTATTATTACAGTGATATTCGAGTGTGTTTTGCTTCCACTGAGCCTTTTAACAGTAGGAATGAGAGACGTAGAATCTGATTGGTTGATTTTTGCGTATCCCTTGACATTGGCCAATCAGCTTGGCTGGCAGATTCAGGTGGTAAATCCTGATCCTGCCTGTGACTGTAACACGGCCCAGAGCTCTCTGCTCTCCCTCGTAGTGTGTTTTTCAGCCCTGCCTCGGTTGCTTCCCTTCCCCTGTGCCGCCATTAAAGCCCTTCAGCTTGGTGTTTGGAAATCGGGGAAAAGGATCAAAATGATTTAAAGCGTCGAAACCGACGGCCGAGGGACGGGACTAATGGGGGGGTTCTCGCTCCGTGGTATGTATGGACCTTCAACTGCCAACTAAACGGCGCCCCACAGAAGTAAATATGCGGCTAGTGTCGTCCAAGTGAGAGAAGCCCGAGTTCGGATTGGAGTGGGTTTCTCCGATCCGGGGGGAAGCTCCGTTTGTTTTGGCCGCAACGGGGGACCGGGGAGTGTAAACACAGCAAAGCAAAGGTGAGGGTTTGAGCGTTACAACACCTTCTCGTAGAGTTGATAGGGGCCTCTCAAACGGCTACGGGCAAAACATAATCTCGTAACGTTAGCGAGCAGCTAGCTTGGCTGTAATTCTTGGCTGATAACCGAGCGAAGGTAGCCTGGTTGACATGTAAGATAACTAACCGCGAGCGCGCTCCGTGGGTCAGTTGAGCAGCGGCTAGTTTGATAGCCAACTAATGTTAAGTGACACCAGTCGAGCGCTCATTTGAATTAAACTCATTGTTTATTTGCGCCGAACATGTCAACGCGTTGCTAGTCACACAAGTAAACTGGTTGACCGTTACTATCTTAGCCGCTGGGCAAGGTTCCCGAGCCGACGTTAATTCTTGTTAGCTTTGTCTCGAGGAACCGTATCTCGAGAATTTGTTGAATTTCTCACGGTGTGTTGGTAAACTTGGAGGCGTGGTGTAAACACAGCGACGACTCCCCTCCGAGCTGCCCCGCCGAGCCGCCGTTAACTTCATTTTTTATTAGCTTTTGTCTCTTCAATTAATGTCGGGGATGCGGTTCGGAACGTTCAGTTTCATATGTGGGTAATAATAGGCTTTGGGGCGAATTCAATTTCAGTGCATCAGTAAGTGTCTTAACCAGTCACGCGCCTCCCTGCAGGGTGTCAGGTTTCATCCGTCCTTGTCTCCTGTTACCCGGCCCGGTTGTAGGGCACATTTGCCTGGTGTGTATAACTTACTGTATGTGTTTAAAGTCAGTGTCCGGTTTTAATAGAAGTACTGCACTCCCAGGCTGCAGCTTCACCCTGGTTGCACTTTGCTTTGCGAGTCTCTCAGCGTCGCTCACTTTGATTAACTTACAAGTTCGTGTCCGATCAAGAGCAGGGAGCACTGTAGATTTGGAAGTGGTTTGACAGTAAAGGACTTAAGGACTGAGTGGCACAGGTGGCAGTAATAACGCAGGCATGGTCTGGTTGCATTATTGGACAGATTTACCACTTGGAACCTGGAAAATGAAGCAGCATATTTTGCCTCTTTAAACACAGATGTCTGTTGTTATTGCTTTTACCTCTCAAAAGTGTTTACCTTTGAGTCATAAGATGTTTAGGTTTGCCTTTCTTCATTATGTAGCTTCGTCAAGTTCAATGTTTTCATTTAACATAACATCAGCGCTTTTGTCTAAAATATATTTTTTCTCTTTATTTTAACCCCAGTGTACTGCTTGCTGTGTGATCTCCTTGAGAGTGGATCTGCCGAGCTGAGAGTCCCTCTGAACGGCAGGAAGCCTCCCTTAGCGGCGGTGCGACGATGACCGAGCTGGTTGCCAAGTGGGCCTGTGAATACTGCACATACGAGAACTGGCCGTCAGCCATCAAGTGCACCATGTGCCGCGCTCAGAGGCCCAGCGGGGGTGCCATCATTACTGAGGAGCCCTTCAAGAGCAGCCCTGCCCTGGATGCCAGTCTGCATCAGTGGGACCCTGCAGGCCTTAGCAACAGCCCATCTCAGGGTGGATCTAGCTTACTCATTTGTCCAGACTCCAGCGCCCGACCCCGTGTTCGCATTGCTGACGTACCTGAGACTAGTAGCAAGTGGTCATGCCACATGTGCACCTACCTGAACTGGCCTCGGGCTATCCGTTGCACCCAGTGCCTGTGTCAGAGGCAACAGGCTCAACAACAACAACAACAACAACAGCATGGACAGCATGCAACCCATCAAGGACATCATACCCAGCAGCCACGCAGCCCCACGGAATCACCCCAGACCTCAGGCTCTGGATGCCGCCCTGCTCCCCCAGCCACCACTACAGACCCTTGTGAGGAATATAATGACCGTAACAGGCTCAACACTCATGCACAGCACTGGACCTGCACTGCATGCACTTACGAGAACTGGGCCAAGGCACTCAAGTGTGTGGTGTGTGATCATCCCAGGCCCAACAGTCTGCTAGCTGAACCTATCGAACTGGCATCAGAGCCTGAGAGCCAACAGCCATCCTTAAAACTCAATGAACAGGACAGGGACAACAGGAGGGGTGTCGTTGGGCACGTGGTTGGACAAGGAGTTGGAGGTGTGGTAGGTGGTGTGGGTGGTTGTAGCAGCAGCCAGAGAAGGTCACCCCCAACCTCAAAAAGGGAGTCAGAGGTCAACATGGACTTTCAGAGGATTGAAGTGGCATCAGGGGCTGGGGTTGGGAGCAAAGAGGATCTCGAGGTGGATTTCAAAAAACTGAAGCAGATTAAGAACAGGATGAGAAGGACTGATTGGCTGTTCCTCAATGCATGTGTTGGTGAGTTTGAAGGATATATGATTTTACTGAAGTATTTCATCTTGTTCGCCTCGTGTATTGAGCTGTTATGACGTGGACACTGAGTCAGCTGAATGGTGCGAGGCAGGCTATCACTGAAATGGGATTTCCCTGAATTTGTGTGAATGATCAATACGGGATTACAATTAGTTGCGGTTTGTATAGCCGCATTCATATGATGCTAAATTACATCCTACTGATGTTGCCGTACTGTATGCTTCGTAATCCTCTGCATTCAGCGAGTAAAAACTTCCCTACACAAACACCAAGTGTCCGGCCACCCACACTGTGTGCTGGCGAATGCGGAGTGGGAGGGAGGATGAGCATTGTAAGAACAACTAATGATTGCTCTTTTTTTTCTCTCTCACACCACTATCTCACTCTTTCTCCTGCCTGTGCCATCGGTGCGTAGAGTTTGTTCTGCACACCCACTCAACCTCCCGTCTTTTTTTTTCCCTATCTGTCTCTTTGACAGACAATTATTCTGTATTATATTGACGGCACGAATTTGACAACCGAACATGCATTTAATAACACCCTGAAACCCTTCTAGTGAAAAATAATTACAACTTTTTTCATGCTGCTACAAAGACTGATTGCAGAAAACATGACTGCAGTTAGTTTGCCTCTGGTCCGACACTGGGTCTCTCACTGCATGTGGCATCGTGAATTCCCTCATGTCTGTGAGACATGTCTGCGCGGGGCCAAGTCTCGTCTGGTCAGAATGTCTGATGTCAGTGGGTGCAATTAATCAAATGTTATCTGATCAGAAATGTCCCTTAATTTCTCCCATGGCCCTGACAGGAAATGAATTCCAAGCTATGTCCTTCAAGTTTATTATATGTACTTGGGAACATTTTAAGTTTGCAGCTTATGATTACAATCACCATCAAAATATACGTATTATTTCTTCTATTAATTGTTTGGTCTTGGGGAAGTTTACTAGTAGTTGTCTGCCAACAGACTTATATTTATTGTTTTGTTTTATCAACAATCAAAAATGTTCACGCCGCAACAGTTGAGGCGCTCAAATTCTGGCTGAATAAATAAATAGTGTCAGTATTGCTCTGTCGCTACACTGATCTGTATACTCTGAATTATAAAATACATAAATAAAAAATAGCAGTTTGCATGCATGAAACACTCACTGTTAGTTTAAATTAAGCTTTTAAGACGAGAGCGCAATTTCCACTTTAGAATCGTACAAACTAATGCTGCTTTGCTCTGGCTTTGCCAACGCTGACGATGCCATTTTGTTTGAATAAACTTTAATCGGAATTGTCACAGGACAAAACCGACTAAGAGCTTAGCTATGTTGAATGTGAGTTCCACTTTAGGGCTGGTCTCAAGCTCTGGCCATACAGGAAGGCAAATTAAAATGTGCAGTAAAATGTGCAGTGTACAGTAACACATTGGACAAGATTGATAAAAGTCGTACAGTAATAGCCGTGAAAGCGTCCGTCCAGCTGTCAAGGCTAACCCTACTAGCATGCTCTGAATTGATAAACAACAACTGGTGCACTGCCAAAACCTTTTTGGAGTGTGAAGACATAGACATAAATATACCATACTGTGGACATGCCGAACAGAAGCCTCATGCGGAACCAAACGTCCTGTACCGAATGCTTTGGACGGATGCTCATACAGTTACACCCCTAATGTTTGTAAACAGTGTCCTCAGTTGTGTCAGGTGCTCCGGTTTCCAAAGGGACCTGCTGCTCTAAAAATAGCATGAGCTATGTAACAGAAGTTAAAAATAATAAAGTCTGGGGCAACAGTAATTACCCTTGCCCCTACAGTGTGTGTGACCCTAGACCAACTCCTTAAACTCAACTGTTTTTGCCTGCATGCGTGGTGTTTGTGGGGGCATGTCTCTGGTCGCTCCAATGATGGTGCGTTACATTCTTACAGCTGCAAACAGATTTGCGATTGTGCACCTGGTTAGGCTTTTGTAAAGATCTTTTCGAGGACAAACAAGTTGTCACTTTGCATTTTGCGTTACCGCCTCTTTTCTGCAAAGGTTTCTTACAGAAACACTAAAGTGCACAAGGAGAGACTGGTTTCGTTTTATGTCTTTATCATTCCTGAAGCCTGATGCTTGGGACTTGTAAGCTTGATGAGCCACCAGTTGAGCAGAGTCTTTAAGCACCCACTTGTTTGTGTTTGTGCAGGTTTATTGGCCCACTGTCCCATCGTTTAGTAGTTAAAGAGACCTCACATGGTGACAAGGGAAGGGTATGTTGTTTATAGCTTTGGCAATGGCCAGTGTTTCTCATATAAATCTTCATAATATATATATTTTTCTCACTTATTCCAACTCTAAGGGGTGTTTACATCGACTTATCATATGAGGACGGAGGACTGGAAAAAGTTCTGGATGTGTTGTTAGTCCCCTACAGTGATACCATAGATAGACTCACAGTCACTCAGACTTATGAACACCTACATGCAGTTCAAAGTCTTGAGAACTCCTACCTTAGGAATGTGAAAGGAAACAGGAGCGTGGTCAAAGGAAGCCCATGTGAACACGGGGGGAATGTGCAAACACCAAACAAACCCGTGTCCTACTTTCTGTAAGGTGATAGTACAAACTGGGGCTGAGTTATGAAGGACTAAAATAATGTGTCAGTACTTTAATACTTCAAGCTATGCATAGCCATAAAGTTTGTCGTGTTTCATTCTGAATCATAATTATATAATTATAACATGGCATGGAAAGAGTATGGCGTAACAAAGGTCCCACCAGGATAGGTTTAAACCGTTTCAACATTTAATACAATAGCAGGGTTTTCCCTACTATTCTAAAACTTGTGCAGAAAATCTATGCTGAGAGACGTGGGATGCCCTGGAGAGAAAAAATTACTGATCATAAGACCAATTATGAGACAGTCAGTTTTTCTAAAAATGATCTGCAGGCGTTTCTGAAGGCTTGTGTAACGTGTTTTGCTGCCACAGAGGAATTAAATCCATAATGAGTGAAGACAAGTTCGTTGCATCGCTCAGCATTTTTGCCGTAAAAAGAAATACACCAATACACCTGTTAAAGAGCCAAGAATTACAGCTGTCGCTGTTGATGAGAACTTGAAACAAACTCGAAAATACTAACTGTTAGAGAAAGTGATTCAGAGAGAGGATACAGTAAGAAAGTGACCTGGTTACATCTGACACTGTTACAACATCAGATGGCAATGGGAGAATGAGAGCAAGCACAGTGCAGCAACAAAATTGTGTTTTTTTGTAAATATTTTAATCAGAATGGTCCAAAATCATGTGGAAATGTGTAATAACGTTGCATTTTGAACACCACGGCATCTGAGACCTCCAGGATTGTAGGTAAAACCGAAGCTAGATATCATTTTTCTCCACAGTTACGAAACATTTAGTGCAGTATGACCATAGGTACCAAAAAAGAAAAGTACAAAGTAAGCCTTAGATAGAATAACAAAATATTCACAGCAGTTGAACAAACTTGAATATTAATAAGCAGTACCATTTTATAGAGAAGGACTAAATGTATGCATATGGCTCCCTGCATATGGAGTGGTGTACTCTGAGCCTCTTGTGCTAGCCTTTCAGATTTCTGTATTAATACCAGCAGGATGCCCGGCATAATCTCAGGCCTCTCTCTGCCCAGGCATTTTGAAATGTTGTTGCAGGAAAAGAACATGCCTAACTGTTAGCATAAATAGTAGCTCTGGTCTCTCAGTAAGAACTGTCTGAGCCAACACACACAATACCAAGAAACATGCCTTTAAATCCAGTGTTATTAATGACGCTTGTGCCTTTTCTTGCCGCGACATGTCAAATTGTCTGACTGAAAACTCACAATATTCTTCTTACTTTATTAATTTGTGTTCTCTGAGAGTTGGAAAATCCATCACAATTTGTTTACGTACGAGAGCTCGCATAAAAGCTGTCTGACAAATAATGACGGGGTCAGGGTCTGCTGAAAGTAACATCCATCTTCACAACAAATAACGTGTCAGATTCAGTCCTCGGTACTTATTTCTTAAATAGTCCTCGGGTGAAACATTCACCTCTCTCGAGTGCAGGTTTCCTTGTTTCACTTGAAATGAATGTCAGTATCTAGAAAAGGCAACAAAGGGAGGAACATTGCTTCACTATTCTCAACAGTATTTGCTTTTACTCACTTGTTAAAAGCAATGTAAATAGGCACAGTCTAAGCCACAGTAGGAACGGTTTGTGGTGGATTCTGGTGAAATCGTATTAGCTTATATGTTCTCTATTGGGGCTGCAAGGTGGTAGCACTGTTGCCTCGCAGCAAGAAGGTCGCCAGTTCGCGTCTGGATCTTTCTGCGTGGAGTTTGCATGTTCTCCCCGTGCAGCGTGGGTTCTCTCCGGGTTCTCCGGCTTCCTCCCACATAGTCCAAAAACATGTTGAGGTTAATTGGTGATTCTAAATTGTCCATAGGTGTGAATGTGAGTGTGCTTGGTTGTCTGTCTCTAAGTGTAGCCCTGTGATAGACTGGTGACCTGTTCAGGGTGTCCCCCGGTCTTCACCCTGAGTCAGCTGGGATAGACTCCTGCCCCCCATGATCCTAGTGAGGATTAAGTGGTGTATAGATAATGGATGGACGGATGGATGTTCTCTTTTGTTTTAAGAAAATAAAGGTCAAATGATTTGGTAAAAATCTCAAATACACAACATGTAGTATGCTTTCCCATGTTTCCTCTTGCCAGTTTTTGAATCTTCTGCTGCAATATGTGCATGGAGGAGCAAAGACTACTGCTATTATTTTGTACATCCAAAATTCTGTCAGCCTTTCTAATGCATTACCCCCAGAAGTGGCTTATTGCGCAGGTAAACATACCAATCCCAAATAGACTTAAAAGCACCAACGGCTGCCTCACGGCTCTCCTATGATAGACGTGACCGCTATCCGCACTGTTGAAATGGCATGTACTGCGTTAAAAGAAAAAGACCAAGAACCACTTAGCCCGTTCCATTCTCTCTCTCTCCCCTTCAGTCTGTCTGCAAGTGTGCGTCTGTTTGCATATTAGCGCCTCCACCAAAGGATCCGTGAGTACAGTACTGACTGCAGGGCTACAGGCACACCCACACTAATGGAGTGTTTTGTGGAAAGCAGTTGTGATCCTTCTCTATCACACTGCGCTGCTATTGTGTAGTTTCTCTCCTCATCTCTCACAGCGCTAGCCAGCTCCACATGGCACAGCGAGTCCTTCCACCCACTCCATGTCTCTCTCGCTCTCACTCACACACACAGATTATGCAGCTGAGCATTGTGTGTGGTCCTTTGACGTGAGAACAAAAGCTCAACAGTGTTTAATGCTGTCAAATGTACGAGAGAATACTACACGGGCATTTACTGTATATGCTAGAACTGGAAAGAGGACATCTGTGTGGCGGTAATGCTTTGAAATGTATTTACGCTTTGATGTTTGATTAGATTTTATAACCATAACACACTCGTCCAAATAGTTTATTCAACTTAAACGGCTAACTCACTTTATCTCGCTGCGTCGCCGGTTGGCAGCGCTCGAGGCTGGCACCGGTGCTGAAACCTAAAACGGGCGAATTTCTTGTCGAGCCCGATCGCACAGCTATCCACATTTCAGCCTTAATCAACTTTATTATCAGCGTGTTCTGCTGCTTTGGTTTAGGACTAAAAATACCCCCCCTCCATCCTCCTGCCTCTCACGACAGTTTAACATTACGCACACACATCACTCAATGTTTTATTCAATCCTTCTTACATTAAAACACAGAAAATGGTTTACATCTGAGCTTTTAGTGTGAGATCACAGACTAAAAAAAATGTTAAAAGTTTACAGTCGAACATCCGATTTGTCAGCGTGTGTTTAAAAGGTGGGTTTAGCGATGATTCACGATAATGACAGCTTACTTAGACTAACAACTTAAAAGCAGAAGAGTGACTGTTTTCTGCCGGTCACGTGTTCCTGTCGTTCGGCTGTCCCAGTTAGCTGCTCCGTGGTTACGTTTGTGTGCTAGATGTTGACACAAATTGATTCTGTCTGTCAGTAGCGTTTGCACTTTGTGCCAAAAAAAAAAAGTACAGAAAAACAAACACCTGCAACCGCCTGGCCAAGCTGCTCCTTCAGCCAGCGTGCTAACATCTGAGCCTGGAGATTAAGAAGGGAACAAATAACTGACAGATTACAGCGTGCACCCCCTATTGTCTTTTCCCCTTCACTTCAAGGTCAGTGAAGTCTCAGAGCTGTTGGTGTTGCCACGGAGATAAAGTTGTTTCTCATCTCCAATTTTTCATACTTTTTGGTCTAACACTGAATGTCCTCTGCACGTGGAGGTTTTTTTTTCGTATCTCTTGGGCCAAGTCATAATGCGTTTGTAACCACAGTGGTCAACATGTTCTGACTGGCTACTGAATGCAAGAAAACTGATAAACAGATCTTTTGTTTATATCATGTTGTGCTTAAAAATCTCCTTAAAAGGTAACATGATTGGCCGCCGCTGTAACTCAACTGGTTGAGCTGGCAACCCGTGTACTGGGGCTGTACTCCCTGATGCAGCGGTCGTGGGTTTGAATCCAGCCCGTGGCCTTTTGCTGCAGGTCCCTCCCCCATTCTTCTCCCCACTTTCCTGTCTCTCTCTCTACTGTCTTGTCAAATAAAGGCAAAAAAAAAAAAACTTCAAAAAAAATCTTCTATTTAAAATTATAAAAACAAAATGCCTTCACTTTATATCTACGTTTCATTGCAGGTATTAATAATATTTATTGACATGACCTTTTCCCCCCTCTCTTTGCCTGAAGGTGTTGTAGAAGGTGACCTGGCAGCTGTGGAGGCCTACAAGTCGTCAGGAGGTGACATCGCACGACAGCTAACGTCAGACGAGGTGCGCCTATTAAATCGGCCCTCAGCATTTGATGACGGCTTCACGCTGGTTCACCTGGCAATCCGCTTCCAGAGACAGGACATGCTGGCAGTGTTACTCACTGAGGTCAGTGGAGACACTCGCTACTCTTTCAGGAATCACATGCACCAGCGTGTTGACGTATTTTGAATTCTTTTTACATCATGACAAAACAGTAGACCTTTTCAAACACGTGGCTGTGTCTGTTGGTAGATCTATTTCTTTGTCATTTCTCTATGTGTTCTTAAAAACAGGTCAAAGATAATTCAAAAATACTGAGCCAAATAAGGCTACAAAACAAAGTATAACCCGTATAAGAGCAATCTGTTGATCGCAGGAAAAGATACAGTTGCTTTGCCTGATCTTCTAGCATAAGGTACTTATTGAAGAATATAGGCAATCATGTGTTAAATGTTTAAAAAAAAATGACCACAGAAACTGGCCTGGGATGGAAAGGCCACCCTTGAACTATGGTATGATTGTTGCGCTGCTGGTTTTTGCGTCACAGATGATGCAGCGTTTTCTTCAGCAAAGTCTCTTAATCACAGAATCCAGTGAGATCAGCCGGGAGGAATCACAAGGCCAACGGATTTGTAGAAAGGAAGGGACTGCAGTGCACATTACACTTCTGGTGCACAAAATCATTTCACACCCTGGTCTCCAAAGTGATAACCATTCCACTATCACTCATTAGTTTATGTTGTTTGTATGCTTCATATTCAGTGTTTTGGTTAAAATAAAAAGTGAGTCTTGAGTGTCTTTGCAACCACAAGGTTAACGGAGCTTGTGTGTGTCCGCTGGCACCGTGCATGTGCTGAAGTTGATTTCGGCTCACTTGCCGTCTGCTCTGTGATCCCAGATTATCTGTACACACACACCTCTCCTCCCACACTCAGTCACTGCCCCAGTTTCTCTTCCAAAGGGGTTAGTGAGTAACCACTGGATCATGTCCCTAAAATGCTTCAAAGCTGACAACTGCTCGAACACCAAACACAGAAGCAGTTCTGTTCTTGTCCTGGAGGCAATTTAGATTTGGTTAGTGAAAGTAAAGTTTGTTCAGATGTTAGCGTTAACGCACAAAAAGTTACTATTATTGTTTTTATTTTATTTTTTTGGTGGTGGTTTTTGGGCTCCAGCTGTGTTAGAAAGATGTGTTTTGAATGTCATTTCCACAAATAAATAGTCGTACAAATGAGATGATCTCAAGCTCATTGCCGTGTTATTATTTTGCTTCCTTTAGTCCTGATGTCTGTCTCAGTAAAAAACATCACTGTTGCTCATAGAAAACAACAATAATCTAAACAAAAGCCCATGTTGTCCAGTGTACATTATACTCCATTACCCCTGCACTCCACTGATCATGAAGTGACCCTGACCTCTGCTATTGATTCTTTTCTCATGTTTTAAACATGCTGTTGTCCTGCCTCTCCATATTTCTGCAATGCTGTACACAAAGTGATTTCTTTACAGGGATTTTTCCAGATCTCTTCATATTGACACATTTGATCAGATATCCACTTTATCAAAGTCACGGTGACATTTTCCAGGCAGCTGGAGGTGCAGACTGTTCATTCTGTTCATCGTAGACCTCAGTGGAGCATGTGATACAGCTGGCCACTGCATGCAGCTAACCTACCTTGAAAGCTGGATTTGCATCAGTTGACACAGACAGCTTTTGGGTTTTGTGGTTGGTTGTGAAATTCGACCTTCCTCAATCACAAGAAATGCCGTTGCTCAGTTCTCTCTATCACATACTATTTATCTAGATAAACCTTCCTTTCCTTTATCCTCTCGGCTCTGCAGGTCTCCCAACAGGCGGCCAAGTGTATCCCAGCCATGGTGTGTCCTGAGCTGACAGAGCAGATCCGTCGTGAGGTAGCGGCCTCTCTCCACCAGCGCAAGGGAGACTTCACCTGCTACTTCCTCACTGACCTGGTGACCTTCACCCTGCCTGCAGGTCAGCAGCTCAGCAGCAACTAAACAAATGTGACAAAAAAATATAATCTCTCTGGTAGAAACTGTTCAACAAATTCATCACTGTCATAACACAAACTCCAGAAGCTGTTAAAATGTACTTTGTGTACAAGGGGAACCTAAAACTCTGCAGCCTAAGAAACCCAGTCTAGTCATTTCTTCCTGCTTTCCAAGGGTGTATTAGAATGCTTGTTTTGTTTACTTGTGGCGTATGAAATTGCTTGTTGTTCAGATGCTGAGGGGACATAATGCCACAGTTGTGTGTTTCCAACTGCCAGAACACAGAGGCTACCTCTGGCTCACTGTTTCAGTATTGTTCTCGCATTCTGAATATGCAAGCCCACCAACGATGAATGTCTCTTGTTCATAACAAAACTATATTTAGTATTTATGCCGATGTCGTTCTGTTAAATTGCGTGCGTTCTTTGTTATTTCTGCTGAATTTCACTGCGTGGAACAGCTATTATGGTTCAGTGTGTTGCTGCTAGCTAAGCTAAGGATTTTTTGTTATGCTGAGTTTTCAGGACAATGCCGACCTTGGCTTCTGGCCACTATAGAAACACATTCTGTTCAGTTCCACAAAGTCAATGCATTCATTTATTTTAGCTAAAGAATGAGCTACTGTGTTGACAAGCGCTTAGAGCCAGCAGTGAAAGCCATTGGCTGTTGTGGAAAGAGCAAAACATGGTGGCTTTTTTTTTTTTAAATGAGCAACAACAGAAAGGTTTTCTAGCTGACCTTCTTCAGTCTTTTCAATCAAGTGTTACAGATAGTTGAAATAGAGATGAATGCATTCATCAAATGAAATGTGAATAAAAATAAGATTTCTCTGCTTTCTTTTCATTTCTCATTCATTCCTCTTCCTTTGGTTTCAGACATCGAGGACTTGCCCCCAGCGGTTCAGGAAAAACTCTTTGATGAGGTGCTGGACCGAGACGTACAAAAAGGTGAATTATTATTTTTCCTTCAACTTTACAACTCGTGTGTTCTGCGGTAACAGCTATCACATGCTGCGCTTACGTATCAACGCGATCGCTCTGAGAGAGAAACCAGATCCAGTGCCGTTCTGGCTGCTCGACAAACAGAGGGAGCCCCTTCACAACCTGCATACTATTAACAGGGAGGCTGCGGAGTGCTGGCAGTGTTACATTACTTGTATTTTCTCTCCTGCCAACCCAGTTTTTTCGCCTGCCTGCTTGTCACGCTGCCAGACGGTCTGTCTTTATCGTGCGGACCAGTTGCATTCGCGCTAATCAGCCTAATTGAGTTTTGGGGATTTCTCTGATCCCCACTGAATGATTGTGTTTCCTTTCAGCCCACATGCTCGCTCACAAATCTAAACGCCATTAAAAGGCGTCACCTTTACTTCTTTAGTTTCCTGCTACTTTGTGTGTCCTGTTTAATCATCCCAATGTGTCAAATATTAGCCGCTGCCGTATAAACACAAATCCTTACTTCCCCCCTCAAGAGACTTTCTCGGTGTGCTTGTTTGCACTTAAATTGGAGGTTTTGATGTAAACATAAAAGGTCCACGTGAACGGAAAGCTTTTTTTCATGTTAAAAGATTAGGACAGGACCAGTTGACACCAGTGTATAGTGTGTATTGAATTTCTTCAGTTTGCATTTTGTGAGCAGTTAATAAAACGCAAGGACACAAAAATATCCGGATAGCAATTTAGCTTAAAGAAAGGAAACATGATTGTTAGCAGCTTTGTGTATTTGTGTCTAGAATAAATAAACACATAAGTCTAATTATAAGTGAACAAACTTCAACTTTAACTTCAAAAGAAATGACCTCTACAAGGCTTGTGACAGACTTCTACTTTGTCCTTGTCAACATGTTTCTGCCACACAGTAAATATTAGTGTGCACTAAAATATACATGATGTATCTGTCTGCCATGTTTCTTATCTGGTTTCCTGCTGTAACCTGATCCTCTCGCAGTCGTCTGGTTATGCGGTGGACATGCAGATATTGTCATGTGAAATCTATTTTCATAGACGTGGGTAGCCATTAACACTCCCAAACTGTCCTTTTAAATACCATCACCTGTCTTGCAAGAAAAAACACTCAGGCCTCTATAGTACCAACACTGTGTTGGTACATGTTCTTGTTGTGCTTAAATATTCAGAACCGCTGAGAAGTTTAAAGACACAGCAATGAACTTTTCCTCCCCTCTCAATCAGAACTTGAAGAGGAGTCTCCCATCATCAACTGGTCCCTGGAGCTGGGCACCAGGTTGGACAGTCGGCTGTACGCCCTGTGGAACCGCACGGCCGGCGACTGCCTCCTCGACTCCGTGCTGCAGGCTACATGGGGCATCTACGACAAGGACTCAGTTCTCCGCAAGACCCTCCACGACAGTCTACACGACTGCTCTCACTGGTGAGGACTTGTGCTCTGAGTGCAATGGACTGTAGCCCTTTTAACCTGCGATCAGCGTGGGTGATTTGCATCAAGTCATGTGCATATTCAAACTATGTTAAACCGACTGAATGACATAATGCACCACACATCAACAGTAGACAGCTTGTGCCAGTGAGTTGCTGTGCACATGTTGCTTTTTAGGAGGGCTAGTGGACACCTTCATTTGGGAATTGGGTATTTTTCTGTATTTATAACCTGCAGACTGAATAATCCGGTAAACATATTGACGATTACATTCTAGTAACAAGACATCTATATCTCATCCATGTTTGTCCTTTTAACATTTACCGTTTTACACCAAAATATTTACAGAAAGTAAGATTGCTGCGTTTTAGTGTCTCACTCAAGGACACCAAAACAGCTGAAGCTTGACATTCAACAGTCTCAAGTTACTTTCTGTTTTCTTTCAACATTGCATGACTGGGGAACATGTGGTTCGGAGGTTTGGGATACATACCCAGAATCCAAAGATTTTATTGCCAGCCCATTCAGAGATCCGAGGCTTTGATCTGGAAATGATGGGATTTCACTTGGGCTCCTGTCCAGTTTGAGAAGACACGTATTTTGAAACAGATTAATAATTTGGGAGTATTCAAACAATTTAAAGGTTGAGGACTAGGGTTAGTATGAAAAAATACCCTGAAAATACTGTAAACAAGAAGTAATAGGTTCGGGCTGACATAGTTTTTCCACAAAAACATTCAATTACATCCTTAAAAAAATCCTTCAAATGACCTCTGCTGTGTTTTTCTCATTGAGAAGTCCAGAATCTATAAAAAAACTAAAGTTTTTCTCTTTTTTGTTGTTGTTTTAAGTTTAACAGAAAATCCACTCTCAGTATATGTGCGCTAGAGGCTTTAAATTTCCTCTTCACACTTGTCTAAGTTGCGTACTAGCCCACAGCCGGCTCCTAAAATTGCTGTGATGTTACAAATCACGCTCGTAGGTACAAACGTTCTTCTCGAGGCGAACGAAAATTGAAAGCAGGCTTCTAGTGTCAAACCCGGCGCACATTCTGCACAATGAAGCATAAACATCCTGACTGAGGAACAAGACACATTTTTGAGCGGAGGGGCGGCTTTAGAATGATTCTGCATGAACAGAACCGGCCAGTGTGACTCACGCCTATTTGTTAGAACCTGCGGCTTTTTTCGGCGAGAAAATTACTGTTTAGATATAATAAGCAATCGCCATCCAACCTAAACCACAACAGAGACGGAGGAATGCAGTCAATAGCAGTGACACGCCTTTCTGCGCCGAGGTCAAGTCATGTCACAGGCTAAATCGTTTTTTTTGTGTGTGTGTGTGTGCAGGTTTTACACGCGCTGGAAGGAGTGGGAGTCGTGGTATTCCCAGAGCTTCGGCCTACACTTTTCCCTCCGAGAGGAACAGTGGCAGGAAGACTGGGCTTTCATCCTGTCCCTTGCCAGCCAGGTACATGAAAGCAAACACACACAACAATAGCACCGAGGACCCGGGAGCTTGATGTGCTTAAAATGTGACACGCTAATGATGCATGAATTATGCAAGAAGCTTTACTGCTCTTACCACAGTATACTTAATCTGTAATGCACTCTGAAAGTGCATCCTGTCTGTCAGCACTTCTCTCTGCTCCGTGTGACCTCACTGACTAAGTATTTGGGCGGGTTGTTATTATATCTGGGTGTGAAAGCTCAGTAATTGTGTGTGTTTTTTAGTGTTTTAACACTTGGAGCATGCTGGGGTGACTTGGCAGCAGTCGAGAATCCTCGCTTTGTAGTTTCCGCGGGCTGTTCTTTCGAGAAGCGCTTCTTTCTGACCGTTTCTCCCCCCTCTGTGTTGTGTTTTGCTTTTACAGCCTGGATCCAGCTTGGAGCAGACCCACATTTTCGTTCTTGCACACATACTTCGTAGGCCCATCATCGTCTACGGAGTGAAGTATTACAAAAGTTTCCGTGGCGAAACACTCGGGTACACCCGTTTTCAAGGTGAGCACTAAACTGCCGTTGTTTTGGTTAAACATCGTTGGTGTTTTTGAACGCAGCTCGGTTCCAGTGGGTTTGGAAAGACCAGACTTTGTGAAATACTTTCAGCCTACATGTGTCTGCATAGCTGACATAGCTGACATAACTGTCCCTCGGATCTGTCGGTAATTGCTATTTACACCATGTATCAGTCTAGTGTCTTTCATTTAGGGGGTATTTTTGTACAGTGTGACTCAAAATAACACGAGCAGCATAACAAAACCGACTCTTGTGTCAGCAGTTGCAGAAGGATTGCAATGCTGGAAAACGTCCCACACACATCCAGATACAGTTGAACATATGCAAACCATCAGAATCCCGAGTCAAACAATCCCGCGAGCGTGGAGAGCGGAGTCCACCTTTACGACAAGCAGTAAAAACAGTCTGGATTCAATTTGCCTGCTGAGTGATGCTGCGCAGGGGATGATGAAAGTGCTCTGTAAGGGCCAACTGCTTGTGGTAAAGCCTGCCTGATGGATCAGTGATTTACTGTTGCCAGGAGCCAATGTAAAACACACAGAGGAAGGCGTACTTATGGGCGCCTATAGGGAGGGGCGGGGTGTCTCATTTAAAGCGGTGACCAAGTGAACCCAGTAAAACGCAGTGGTTACTAGGAGAGTAGCCAAACAGAGGCTTCTTAATCACGGTGTCAGTTTCACAGGTATTCGTGGGGCGCGGGAGCTGCTTTGTGTATTATGGAGCTGAAGAAATATGAGACGTGAATACCGTCTGTGTTGAGTTTTGTGTATGACCCATATTGCATTCTTTTGAGTGTTTTCATTTCTCTGTACTTCTGCATGTCGGAGCCAAATGGTGCCATGTCTTTTTTTTTCTGTCTTTATTTGTGAGCTATAGTTACCAGTTACCCTGCAGATTATGATTGCATAGACAGAACATGCAATTAGTTCAGAAAATACGCTGCATTGTAAGAACTCCTGCAGAGCCGGTGCTGCTGCATAATCAGTACTTCACGGTGGGTTTGTACTTACAACAGGGTATTTTTACATTGTTGCTGCTTCGACTGAAAAGAAAAGACAGGAAACTTTTCTTTTTTTTTTCTTCCAGTTCTGGGAATTTCTTGTATTTTTCTTCAGCTTGTGTAGTTTAACCCTCTGACCCCAGAACCCACTGGCAGGTTTTAGCGGCATGTTGTCTGAAAATCGCCAAAGTCACCGTTTCTCACAGCAAGAAACTGTAGAAAGAGAAAGAACTGTGAGATTTTCTCCTCTCTGACAGTCCTTGAGCTGTGCTGTTCTGTCAAGACACATTAGCCCAATCTACGCTTAAAATTGTGATTATTAATCAAAATCAGATTAGCTCTCATTTGGAAATAAAATCACCAAACTGAGCTCATTACAGGGACTCTTTGGCTGAACTGCAGGCTGTGCTTGCACAGAGGAGATAGGTGAAAAGGATGAAGCCAAATAAAATGCTTTTAGTAAAATACAGTCGTGACTCGAACAATCCGAAAACCTTGCTATCCGACAGGTTTTTAGAAAAAATGAACGGAACCCATTAAAAATAGCCTTAACATACCGACAGCCTTGGATTCTGAGTCTGACATGACAATAACGTCACAAATTAGGATAACGGCGTATTATCTGACTGAACAATCCGACAGATTGGCTATGTTCAGACTGCTGGACTGAATGCTTAGTTTGGATTTTTTAGTCAAATCCCATTTTTTGTGAGTTTGTTCACATTTTCAATTAAATGCGACTTGTATGTGATCTGCTGTGTGAACTTCATTCAACTCAAAAGTGTCCCACATGCGCAGAAGAGGACACGACGACATCACACGCAGCGAGCATGCTCAGTGTTTATGGAAGTAAACATGGATGGTGGCAGCAGAACTGTGATTGCTAACTAAACTGGCATCAGCAGCCAAGTACTGCCTGTGCATTCTGGCCACTTCCACCCCGTCGGAGCGCTCGCCAGGGGTGGAAGTATCTCCCAACCGCACTGAATATTCTGATATTCATCATTAATTGAGTTCAGAAAGTGATATTGGGACCAGCCCTACTAGTTATTATAACAACTCTAAACAACAAATATTAACAACTAATGAGCCTTCCAGCATCAAGCCCTGCTTGTATCTTGACCTCCGTCTTAACAATCCGACAGCCTTGCTATCCGACATAAAAGAAGGTTTTACATTTAGTGTCGGATTATCGAGTCACGACTGTATCTCTAATATGTGGAGTGGCATTTTATTTTCCAGTGTTGGTAACACTTTTGTGCACTTGGGAAAATGAACTATTTCTCTCTATTGTTGTGATTTATGGCTGTGTCAAGCTGTTCAAGAGAGTTTTTTCAAGTTCACTCTGTTTCTAGCCGTGGCTGTGCTCTTTATAAACGGGCAGGACGCTATGTTGCACTGAGAAATGGATGCACAGTGACTGATGTGACAGGAGCTAAAACACCCTAGAAACTGCTTGGGGCTAAGAGAGTAAATTCATTTTTATTATAAATTTAGGCCAAAGAGTGGTTTCATTTGAACGGTATTCTTTGCTCTAATTCATTAAAAGAACCTGTGTGAAAGAAAGAAAGTTTTATTGAGGAGGAGGAGCAGAAGCAGTCAAATTACAATCACTCATCAGAAAAAAACTCTAAAAACAAGAAGTCGTCAGGTTGTCCTCGAGCTATTCATGTGTGACGTCCTCCAGTAGTTAGTTATGGTGTTGTGAAAATAAGTGGAGTTCTGTAGTTTATTATGAGGGATGCTGCAGTGAGGAAGAGAACATGTTTTATTACAGTTAGCCCATGATCTGACCATAGATATGCTCAGAACAAATAAGATGATGCTTTAAAAGTGTTGGCAAAGTGATTTGTCACACTTGATATAACCGTGCAGCTGCTTAATATTTATCTAGTACAGTGGTTCTCAAGCTGGGGGTCGGGACCCCCACAGGGGTCGCCAGATCATTCTAAAAAGTAATTAAAGAAATAAATAAAGCCTACACTTATTAAATAAATATTAGGGATGTCAAAATTCAAAGTGTTTACTTCTCCCCACTCCTTTTTTGAACTTGTTAATATTATGATTTGATTATGCAATATTTTTATTCTTTTTTGCTCTTTTTTTAAAAAAAACTAATTCTTTTGTTTTTATATTTTTTTCCCTTTCATTTGTTTGAAATAAAGTCAGTTCATTCATTCAAAAGAAAATTAACGTGTTCATGTGAAGAGATGAATCTGTGGAATCAACACATTCATTTTAACACATTAATACATGAACAACAAAGTTATTATTCATGCTGTATTAACAATTCACACTGCGGGTCACAAACACAAACTTCTGTTGTCTTGGGGGTCGTGCCTCAAAAAGTTTGAGACTCACTGATCTAGTAAAACAGTTATTTTTGCAAAAAACACAAATAACCACATACTGTATATTGAAGTGAACCTAACAGTGCATTGTCTTATCTCCTTATTTTTGATGTATTTTTTATAAATGACCTTCTCTCTGTGTCCTTCCTCCCCCTCCAGGCGTGTACTTGCCCCTTTTGTGGGAGCAGAGTTTCTGCTGGAAGAGCCCCATCGCTCTGGGCTACACGCGAGGCCACTTCTCAGCGCTGGTGGCCATGGAGAACGACGGCTTTGACAATCGCGGCGCAGGCGCCAACCTCAACACAGACGATGACGTGACGGTCACGTTCCTGCCGCTGGTCGACAGCGAGAGGAAGCTGCTTCATATTCACTTCCTCTCAGCGCAGGAAGTAAGCCGCTCCCCCGCCGCGTCTCCTGATTTCTTGTTTGTGCTTTTAAATCCAGCTCGTGATTGATGTGTGTTCTTGTTGTTGTGAAGCCTGCTTACTTCGTGCAAGAGGTTTTTCTTCACTGTGACAACACAGATTTACCCTCTGAAGCTTAAAAACCACCAACAGGTTTGAAAGCCATGCTTTTTAAAAATCAAAATTACACCGTTTAACAGAGCTAGAACCTGTTAAAACAGAAAGAATCATCAGATTTTTACCTTTTCCAGCAGTTTTTGAAACAACAAAGTGTGACTTACGGATTGGGGAGAAACAGCCAAATCTGCCAAAAACAAGCAGCAACCAGATTATGTAAAAAGTGAAAATTCTGCACGACTCGCAACTGAGAAGCTGTTGGTGATCCATCTGTGACTAACACGACACAACTTGAGGGACTTTTTAGTTTAGCTGGACTGAACTGGGGCTGCACGGTGGCTCAGTGTTTAGCACCATCAAAGATCCCCAGTTTACGTCCCGATTAGGACGCCTGGGATGTTTCTGTGTGGAGTTTGCATGTTCTCCCCGTGCAGCGTGGGTTCTCTCCGGGTTCTCCGGCTTCCTCCCACAAATCCAAAAAAATGTTGAGGTTAATTGGTGATTCTAAATTGTCCGTAGGTGTGAATGTGAGTGTGCTTGATTTTCTGTCTCTAAGTGTAGCCCTGTGATAGACTTATGACCTGTCCAGGGTGTCTCTTGCCTTCACCCTAAGTCAGCTGGGATAGACTCCAGCCCCCCACGACCCTAGTGAGGATTAAGTGGTGTATAGATGATGGATGGATGGATGGATGGACTGAACTACTTGACTGCAGTCTGAACACAGAACAGACAAATTAAACGTGTATTGACCAACAAATAAAATGACCTCATGTTTAAAGTAGTCACACTGAAACAGATATTAGTCATCGGTTATCTCCACACCCTCATATCCCCCGTGTAGCTCTTTCTCCTGATGACACCAGCGAAGCACCGAATCAGGTTTTACTCCCCATCATCTGACAGAGAATCAGTGGCAACCATCTAAAGTAGATGGATGTTTTTTTAAGCAAACAGTATCAGAGAAGTGAGTCAAGTCTGACTCATGCCTCTTAACCCAGGCCATTGTTGTGTCTGCTGTCTGCATTTATGCGTCAGGTTTAACTTTATTAACTGCCCATGCGGATCACTCATTCTTGTATAACACCAGAGTAGGTAGAGTCATCTTGGTAGCAACTGTGGTCACAAATGTTGGGTTTATTTTTGGTTTTGTAAAATGAATAATCCAAAAAAATCTACTTTTTTGTTAATGATTTATTGCATTATTTTATTTATCAAGGCTTTGTTGTTCAGCACAGAGGACGTCTTTGAGTTCTCTCTGCTTGTAGCGACGGTTGTGATTCAGGACTTTCTATCGCAGTGAAAAACGAGGCAGCAGTGAGTGAAAATGTGACTCCAACTGCTTGAGATTTAGAGGTTTAAGAAAGGTTCAGACGGAGTACACAGTGTCTATAAAAAGTATTCAGCCGTCTTGGAAGCGCTTCTCCTTTTATTGCTTCTCAACGTTGAATCATCTTTGACAAGAATTCACAAAAAAAGAAAAGACTCTTTCATTGTTGAAGTGGAAACAGATTTCCACAAAGTGATGTTAATTTAGTTGACAGTATAAAATAAGGTTGCATCAGTATTCACCTCCTTTCAAGTCAGTATTTATTAGATGCACCTTAGGCCTGTGTGGATTCTTCTCAATCAGCTTTGCACATCAGTTTTCCTCCATTCTTCTGTCAGGGGATCGTGAATGAACGATCAAGTCCAGCTGCAAATTCAGATTGAAGTCTGTTTTTTCTTGTCAAAAAAGCCAACTTCCATTGACCATGATCGAAAAGGAATGACAAACTTGCACAGGGGGTTTCATACATTTTATAGGCAGTGTGTACTGTCTTGAATTTCTTCCCTGTGGCTCCCTCTCATGGTTCGTTTCTTCCACTTCAGATGGGTAATGAAGAGCAGCAGGAGAAGCTCCTGCGGGAGTGGCTGGACTGCTGCGTGACGGAGGGCGGCGTCCTGGTGGCCCTCCAGAAAAGCTCCCGCCGCCGCAACCACCCGCTCGTCACCCAGATGGTGGAGAAGTGGCTGGACGGCTACCGGCAGATCCGTCCCTGCGCCTCTCTGTCCGACGGGGAAGAGGAGGAGGACGACGACGACGAGTGACGAAGCGGCGGGAGGCGGGAGGCGGTCCGCAGGGAGGGGCAGGACTCCTCCCCCTTCCTCTCTCTCTCTCTCTTACAGCTTTTTATTTCTTTTATTTGTTTTTACCTTTCCTGACACGGACAAACTGTGAAAGCCCTCAGGAGAGGACAGGGAACCACAAAAGCCCCCCCACCAACTCACCCCTACACCTCCGCTAGAAGACGCCGCCGCCGCTCTTCTGGGACATACGCTTAAAACACATTCAAAACTCAGACCAAACCTGAGACTGACAAACTCCACTGCTGCAAAAAAAAAAAACACAGATTTCGGGGGAGATAATAAAGGTTTACGAATGCAAATGACCTTTTGATTTGTTTAGAGTTTCAACTGTAAAGGAAAAAAAAAAAAGATCTTTATCCATAGATGTACATGCATGTGGTTGTTTTAAGAAGAAGAAAAAAAAAAAAAGATTCTAAGGAAAAATATACCAGCATTGACTCAAATCAACACTTTCTATCCGTTCAGTATGGGCACTGACAAAAAGCACACTTCCAAATTGATCTTTTTTGACGTTTTTTCCAGTTGTATACGAGTTGGCTTGTTTAGCAATTTGTTTTTGTTTTTTTGAATGGGCAGGGACAAAGCCAATAAATATCAAATATCTTTAGGAGATTGTGTAATAATAAATGACTTTAATCCCTTATTACTAAGCACTGCACATTTATTAAAACATTTCTATATAAATACAGTATCATTGCTTGAATTAAGGTCATATATGAAGCTCTTGAAAAGGGACCTGCTCCCTTTACAAGTGGAATCTACACTCACTTAAGGTTTAGCACACTAACATTCATGTTGGATCTTTGGTTTACCGTTTTTTTTTTTGCGGACTGATTGAACTGAGAAGCGCGTGCGTGTGTTTGTGTGCATGTGTGTTTTATTTCTTCTCTGAATTTATTCTACATATTTATTGTTTGGAAACTTATTTGAGCTAATAAGAGCTTTCTGTATATTTTATTATTTTTTCTCCTTTTTGTGTTTTTTTGTTGTTGTTGTTAATTATTTCTCTCAATCTCGATGAAGACATGTTGCACAGAAACACTGTTGCTGTGAGGAAAGAACCAATCATGACCATCAGTGGAAAGTTTACTTGCGTTTGTTGCGTGCGATTTAGTACCTCATCTGGATGCCTAAAAAAAAAAAAAAATCTGGTGCTTTTTTTCCGGGCAGGCGGGGAGGCGAGTGTTGGGGAGTGAGACGCATTCAATGTCCACGTTTGTCATTACTTTGTCTAATCGCCGTCCCCTCCATTTTGTTCCTTATAGCATTCGTCGTCAAGGCCGCCGCTCCTCATGGTACACCTCCTCTGTAAAGTTTGTCGTCATTATGTGAACCCATCTTTTTCGATTAAGGTTGTTGTAAGAGATTGCAACATACAAAACCAAAGCTGACAGAAAAAAAAAAAAAGAAGAAAAAAAGTTGTCGTTCCTTTTTTTTTTTTTTTTTTTGCTGTGAATGTTTGCATTTTGTTTTTTCTCGCCATTGCGTACTGTAACCTCTTCCGTGTTTCATTCACCTTTTGAGCATCACCTGTATGTTGCTTTGTATTTATGCAATAGTTGCAGTTGTGACTATGATGGTTTGTGGATTTAGGCCTGACTTCACTAAACAGAGTGTAACGCAAAGAACAGGCAAAATAAGGAAAAAAAAGAATAAAATAAAGGAAAACCTTTTTGAATGTCAAACTAAAGTGTTTCCTGTCTGATGTTCTTTATGCTCCAACCTTTCATCACCGCGCCACGAAATCTGTGTATTTTAATATGACTTTTACTTTCTCTGCAGCTGAAACATAGCTCATTCCTCACCAGCTTGGTCTCATTCTGTACGGACAGAACCAGTCAACATATCCGTGACCGTTTTTGCGAAAAACGACATGCTATAGTATGACTTTTTTTTT